CTTGTTTTGGTCATATTTCACTCATTTTAACTAGGTTTTGGGTGATTCGAAGTCCCACATGTTGAGAATTGTTAAAAATTCATCGTAGAGTGATCAAAGAGTGCTGGGCACCTTTTGATTTTCGTTTATTTCGAGAGTTTAGATTGCTGCAATATTTTCTTTTTAGTTGATTAAAGTGTGATTTTCTTGCTTGTCGGTTTTTGCTGCGTTTTGATCTGAATTGTGTTCCATTTTGGAACACAAGTTTGGGGTTGGTTAGGACCTACTTTTGGGGTAATTTCAGAATTTTCAGCGCGGGTCCCACGATTCCCGTTTTGACTCCAAAATTGACCCGTTTCCGTTTTGTTGTGATTTTTGTGTCTAAACTATTGTGACTCTATTTTTTATAGCGAGGCAGAGTTTCGAGGCCGTTCGGAAAGGGAAAGCTCCGGAGAAGTGATTTTGAAGCGCGTGTGATCGGCCTACAGTTTCCCTCTCTTAGATTGAACTCGAAAATGTAAATGCATGTTGATTAGTGGGGATTTGGGTTGGGTAGTTATTGAATCACGTTTAGGGGTTTAAAAATCATGTTTTTGGCCTATTTCAAGAATTATCGGGTAACTGTGAACATGTTTTGTGTTATTAATTGACCCTTATCGCTATGTGGAGTGCTTGCATGCTTAATTACTGTTTATTTGAAGCATGTTGGGCCTTAGTTTAGGTTTGACTAGGGCTTGCCTTAGAAATACATGATTCGGATTTGATAGGCCTTAGTTTTGCCCCGACGTCGCTCGGGTGGCTTAGATCCTTGTAAACTGGTATAGCAGACTTGAGTATGATAGTTTGGGCCTTAATTAGGCGAAACGCTTGCTCCGACTATAGTTATTCTTATTTTTCCCGATGTTACGGCTTTACAAGTTACGTTGGCGACACTAATTTTGCTTCGCGATTTGAATTTGATTTTAGATTCGGTTCCAAGGACTTTCATTGATTGGCTAAGTGTGGACGGATTTCCACGGACATTGTGAGCGTGGATCGATTATGACTCTTTCAGCAGCTACATTGGCACTTATATAGAGCATCCGGTTTAAGGTCCGACCTCTATATCCCAGATACTTATATAGAGCATCCGGTTTAAGGTCCGGCCTCTATTGCCCAAATAATTATATAGAGCATCCGGTTTAAAGTTCGGCCTCTATTGCCCAGATATTTATATAAAACATCTGGTTAGAGTTCCGGCCTCAGTTACTTAATACTTGTGATTGGTTACTTGGGTACTTCTGGTGAGCATCCGGTTCGAGGTTCGACCTCCGTACTGTCAGATTCTACTAATTAGGGTTGAGGTTCTGGTTCGATGTTCTCCGTTCTAGGGTTCTTATGTGCAATTCTCTTTAGTTATAGTTATTATGTGTACTCGTCGGGCTTATAGGGGTCCGTTTGGATTTTTATTTAACTTGCGCACGAGTGTACATTCTGGGCTTATGGGGGTCCAGTTAGGTGTAGTTAGCTTATAGATTACTTTAATTAGTTCTTTCTACATTCGTGTGCATTCCATTGTTAGTTAGATTTTTGTTCTTGACTTCGATTTGTGTTATTCCTTCTTTTCATATTGCCTTTATCTTTCAAGTTCAGTCGACTTATGATGCCTACTGGGTACCTGTTGTTTTGGTACTCATGCTACACTCTGCATCTATTTCGTGATGCAGGTCCGAGCACCAGTGGCCAGCGTTGATCCAATTTGGAGTAGTCTGATTCGAAGACGGGGGTGACCACACGGCGTTTTATACTATTTCAGTCTCCATTTGTGTATATAGACTTGTCTTTTACCTTTCGAGACAGTCCAGTGTCTGTGGTCCACTTTTGGGACTTGTACTCGTTTTGTTAGGAGCTCTGTACTAATGACTTTCAGGTTCTAGGAGGGATCTTTATTTGTATATATTTTTTGGTTTGCTTCCGCCTGTTTATGTTGTTATCTTAAATTTTGCCTACTCTTGTTTAGTTTCTGCCCTCAGACCCATTACTTGTTGTTACGGGTTGGCTTACCTACTGGTGGGTTATAGTAGGTGTCATCATGATTCGAGAAATCGGGTCGTGACACGTTTTCACAAGTGAGTTTTTTCAAATTCTTTGAGATTCCATCCTTGAACAATTTTTTCGGTGTCGAACACTCTTTAAATTAATAAATTTTAATTTATCTATTAAATAATACATCTACAAAATAATAATATTTCATGGTCCCATCTATATTAATTTATAGAGGTTTTACTGTATATCTCTACTCTTCTCTCACTCCTTGTCTCTCTTATACTTAACTCGATTTCGATTTACTTTTTATATTTCATTTCTTCTTATTGCGATTTTTTTTGAAAATTTGTATTTGTCTTTTAATCGTTGTCGACATTTCTTGACATTACAATTATTATCGCTATTCACAATCATCAAAAAATACCCATCACGAAATAAAATTGATGTTCGACCAAATGCACGACACTCAACCATCATTTCACACACAACAAACATTACATCATATAATGTGATGGAAAGAGCAGTTGTAAACCTAGAATGAGAAAAAAAATAGTTGAGGACTACTATTTGTAGAAAAAATGTCATTAAATTAAACATGATATTATATATATTAATATATATTAAGAATAAGTGAGAATCAAGATATAAGATTCAAGTATAATTTTAAAATCTCTTCTATATCTTACTTCTCCAACACTCTAAATCAAAAGTATTAGATGTCTCATAATGTCTCCATCCTCTTTGTTGACATATCAAATAGTATAACACAAAGTCATTTATGAATCATGACAACAATTGTTATATAATTATTAAAAATAATGATCAAAGACATACATACGAATTATAATTTTTTACGAGTTTCATGTTTCAACTATCACTTGCTTTATTTTTACATGAACTTATCACAATTTATGTATTAAAACACATCTCAATGATCGATTGTTCTGTTTTCCTACATAAATAATGGCAGTAGTTTAGATAGAAAAATGAAACAATTGATATTTGATGTATGTTTTGCTACATAGATGGTGATAGTTCAGCTAAAAAAATAAAGGAAAAACTACATAAATGGGCCATAAAACTCATAATAATTACTTGTTCATATCGCAATCTAAAGTAATTCATGAAATACAAATTCTCTAAAAAAATTACAGCCCATACTCACCATTCATTAAGGCTGATACTTTTCGCTTAACTGATACTAAATCAATATATGTATACTGTATTGATATCATTAAGGTTTCTTATTCAGAAATTACACATTAGTTAATGATATTATAAAAGTATATATATATACTCCTACAATATCATTGACTAATGAATAATTTTTAAACAAGAAACCTTAACAATATCAATACAGTATACATATACTGATATAATATAAATTAAGCGAAATTATCAGTTTTAATAATACTAATACAATATATGATACTGATTTAGTATCAATTAAATGAAATTAGTTGGGTGTATATAGTGTAATTAATTAGTGGGATATGAATATAAAAAATATATATTTATAATTATTTTGATTTTGTGTGGTATTTGCTTAGTTTTTCCAAAAATAAATGAACTAATAATTAGAGTGTGAAACTCGCGTGAAAACAATAGTATAGTTCAAGTATGTTTGTGAGTTGTTGTGACAATTGTGATTTTGTTCACATCCCTTTGACCCATGGGTCCAATAACGCGTTGTTCTACTACACAGCCCAAAATTTCAGTTAACTGGGCCTGTGAACTTTTAGGCCCATTACAGGCCTAAACCAGACATAAAACTAAACGCGCGGCTAGGTTTAACTTATTTTTTTCGAAAGCTAAGCAAGAAGTAGGGTTTTAGCTTTCACAAGAAATCAAGACGCAATGCCGAAGTCGAAGCGTAACAGAGTTGGTAGAGCAATTTTCCATATATGATTGATGAATTCATTGTTGATTAAGTACTTTTTTGATTTATGTATCTATTGTAGTGATTTCTTAGTTGTTTTTAAGTTGATGCGTTGTGGATTTTGATTGCAGTTACCTTATCTAAGACGAAGAAGAAGGGTAAGGAGCACAAAGAAAACATTGTCAACTCAATAAGGGAATGCGCGGAAAAGTATAGTTCAGCGTACGTATTTAGTTTCGAGAACATGAGAAATCTCAAGTTCAAGGAGTTCAGAGATCAGCTCAAGTCTTCTAGCAGGCAAGTTTTTTCTATTTTATTCGGGAATTGAGAGACAACGCACTTTTTAGTAATAGTGATATATCTTAGTTGCTTAAAAAGATTGTAATAACCTCATTTCCAAGTCAATAAAACACTTTTATTGCTAGTATAGAAAGGTTTGTTGCAACTAATAATGTAGTATACTATGAACTTTGTATGTATCTCCATTGTTTAAAAAAAAAACAAATTTTAAGTACCCCTTATGGAGGAACATGGTATTTGTTATATGTGTGTTTAGATTTTACATGTGTGGCTACTACGGGCCTAGAATTTTCAAAGCCTGATACTTTTAACTGTTCTCCTTTGCAAGTGGGTAACTTAGGAAGTTTATTTTACTGAACCTGGAATTGGCCTGTTTGGCCGTTATTGCTTGTTTCAAGAGTACATTTTTGTGCATACAATGGTTATTTTATCATTGAACCACTACATATTCTAGAGGATTATCAAATAGAAATTGGTATCGAGTTTGGAAGCATATATCTTGATGGGGAACTTTATTGGTTTTCCATAATTAACTATCAGCAGCATATTAAGCATTGCTTCTTTCCATTTCAGATTTTTCCTGGGATCGAACAAAGTCATGCAGGTAGCACTAGGTCGGTCAGACTCTGATGAGATTCGTCCCGGCCTCCATAAGATTTCTAAGGTATCTGTTATATATCCATTTTAATGAACTTTCTTTTTCGATATGTTATTTCTACTCTAAGTCATGTTTGGATTGAAATATCCCGTCTTTACAGCTTGTACGCGGCGATTCAGGTCTTTGCTTTACTAACTTATCGAAGGAGGAGGTCCAAAGGTAAAACCCAGATTCAATTATGTATTTTAGATACCAAACTCTACATGTTATAACTCTGCTTCTTGATTAGTCAAAGGGAGGTTTTTTTTGGGTAGGTGGGATTAGTTTCACCCCTGTCCACTGTGTAGTGCTATATCCAAATTGTTGCTGATTGTGTTCACAGCTTGACATTTAGTAGTGCATGCATGATATCTTGTTTCCAACAGTTCCTTTATCAGGTCTTTCACTTGTTTTCCACATTGTACTGTAATTTTGTTCCTTGCGTGGACGTCAGAATTCTCTGGTGGAGCGTGACCCCCCTGCTGTTTGCTTCCTGCTCCTTCTGTTGCTCTCAATTTTTTTGCTCATCATTTTAAACGTTGTTAGGTTGTTTAACGAGTATGAAGAACATGACTTTGCGAGGACTGGCACTACAGCAACTGAAAAGGTATAGCAGAAGGTTATTATGTGAATACAAGTTTTTATTTTTATTTTATGACTATGGTTCAAATGTTTCAAGAAATTAATCAACAACATGAGATATAAATCATGGTGTCCACCTTGCATGCACCCTGTGACTAAACTACTGGGAACCACCCACTAGCATAGGTATAGGGAAACTCATTCTTGTGGCTATATGTCAATTTTTGATCTGTAAAGCTAAATGCCATTTTGGCTTTATAAAAAAAGAAGCTAAATGCCATTTCGGCTTTATCAAAATAGAAGAAGCTAAATGCCATTTTGGCTTTATCAAAACAGAAGAAGCTAAATGCCATCTTGGCAACTACAATTAGGGCTATTTGTTCGAGAGCTCTTAGATAAGATGTTTTCTCTGGTCCAATTTGATGCCTTTGGGTACCCATGTGTTGTTTGGTCTATAATAATTGAACCACAACGATTATTATTGCATTGAAGTGTAGTTCAAGTAGATAGTTTGGGTATATTTTTTACTAAAGTTGACCTGAGCACATCTAAGGTATCGTCACATATTATCTTGCCCCAATTTATATCTCAAGTACAATATTGGGTTTTTATGTTTGGTTCAATCTATCAGGTGGAGCTACAAGAAGGTCCTCTTGATCAGTTCACACATGAGATGGAGCCATTCTTGCGGAAACAAGGGATGCCAGTGCGGTTGAACAGAGGTATTAATCATTACTCTTTTGTTTTGCTGATTGTAACTGTAACATGCTTTTGGTGGTTGATATGCCAATAGTTATCTTTAATGCTCTCTGATTCGTTGACTTTTGTCATGCGGGGTGAGCAGGTGTCGTGGAGCTCGTGTCTGACTTTGTTGTATGTGAAGAAGGGAGGCCATTGTCACCAGAGGCAGCTCGGATACTGGTTTGTTGATTTTCACAACTATCAAATTTCTGAATATAGTTACATTCTGTATATTTCTTGCATCATATTGCAATTGCCTGAAAGCAATTACCTTGTCACTTGCAGCGTCTGCTTGGTAAGAAGATGGCTACTTTCCGGCTCCACTTAATATGCAGGTGGTCTCCTGATGAGTTTGAAATCTACAGAGAAGGATTGGAAGAATCAGATATTGAATCCTCATAGACTGCTCTCAGACCTCACATGTTTTACAATGTTAAAGTTATGGCATCCGGAGATACTCCTATAACCTCTTGCTGCTGAAGTTATAAATGGAGTGCTCTTTTACTTTGTTCTCAGAAATATTACCTTGACCGGTCACAGTTTTGGCAATGTTAAATTTGGCATTCAGATCTCAACTCAGTATGTGTGTTATGCGTTTGAATTATTTGACTGTTCAATGCAACAACAGTTTTGGCAATGTTAAATTTGGCATTCAGACCTCAACTCAGTAAGTGTGTAATGCGTTTGAATTATTTGACTGTTCAATGCAACAGATTTTTATGTAAAATCTTTTACTGGTAGTATATCGTGGCAACTTCATATTTTGTTCTCAACATTCTTTTATGGTTTACCTTGTGTCAAAGATATACTTGTGGGTTCAGTTGCTTGGTTTAAGATCTCTCTTGGTATATGCCTATTTGAGGCAATAATAGCAGTAAAAACATCTTTAGATAGTTGGGATTCCAGTTTGATGTAACCCCAAGACATCAAAAGGATAAGTAGAGTACTAACGGTATGAATTCAAGAAATTGCCAACTGGTTCAGCTGAAGACAGTTGTTCCTAAACTTCATCTCAAAATCTGAGGTGTTTTGTATGTACAATTATCCAGACAACACAACTTCTCTCCCTACTTCAGCTTCAGAGAATTCTTCCCGACTCACCTTCAAATTTCTGTCCAAATAACATTCATGTCACAAGACTATTAGTGTAAATAAATGGTATTTCAACTGCTAGTTTCATTGTCTTTAGAAATAAAGGACAAATCAGATCAAGCAGCAGCTATGTCCTCAAAAATTGGAGTACTATCTGAAAAATACCATAAATTAGATCCTACATTGCTTTGCTCTAGCTAGTGCACAAAGTACAAAAATACACACAATTCCATCAACAAAATCCGAGTGTGTTGAATATATTGATGCAGCAATAAAACGCCACCAGGCTACCGCAGATTCAAACCAAGCGTTTCTTCAGCCTAAAATTCACGATGCTTCCAACTCAGCCTTTTTATCTTCCAAAAGCTTCAACTCTTTTCGCCAGCTTTCCAGCTTAGCCATTTTCTCCAGCTGCTCTGGCTTCATGTCCTTCTCGTCAGTCTTCTGCTGTTGAGCTTCTGTCAGCCGAATCTACAACAAATAAAACAGGGTAAAGTTTAGTGAGCTCAACAAAAGATTAAAGCTCCAGCAGAGACGGGTAAGTGCATCTTGAACTTCAAGGTTCAGAAGAGCTGTAATACAGATAGATCACCAGTGATTACAACGTTGATTTTATTTATTTTTTCTCAGATCATAAAAACCCAAATCATTCTAAAACTACAGATTATTTTCCAATGACCAGATTCTAATTATCTGCAGTTTTAGAAAGATGGGACTATCAGTAGAAATCAAATGAAATACTCATATCATAGTTGGACAGCCAATAGTTCTGATATTCCCATTATATGACATTTGCCAGTAGTGTTGAAATGGGAGCAGCACCTTGGACTGAAAAATGCAACTTAAAAGTGGATATATAATGAATCATATAAAATGAATAGCTGGAGGAGGACATGGATTTGAACTAGCACATTTAGTGGACCATACCATTTTTGGTTTACAAAAGAATGCACAAAACCCATCATTACCTTGAAACAAACTTGAATCATCCATTTAGTACATCAAAACTGAAACAGAGAGTCTATTTTGACCATACAGTTGCGAAGTAGAAATAGCTGAGTATCTCTAAAATGCTTTAAGATGCATCGAACTTACTTCATAGATCTAGAATGATGGCATACTATCAGAGAACTAGAAGCACAAGAGTACATACCTTTTTCTTCAGAGCTCGGATCTTTTTGTCAATGTCCTGCACACTATCTCCCATGCCAGAAGACTCGGTTGAATTTGAAGGAGGGACGACAGGATTTGCAGATATGGCAAGATTGTTTATCTGGGACATAACTGACTCAACCTGATCTGGACCATCAACTGAATTTTCAGCAGATGAGACCTCATCGTTCTCTGGATTCTTACCCTTTTCAAGGGCAGCCTGCCACAAGTTGTGTTAATCAAGCTCAGACATTTTTTGTGTGATTAATCCTCGCGAATATTACAACGAGATCATGCCAGTTTGTATACAGTTCTAATCTTCTGAAAGATCCATCAAAATACATACACAGAAGGCTTGGTCCTCTTTATAACAAAATATAGGCGAAAAAGTAAAGAGATTCTAATCATTATTAGTTCACCTATATAATAGCTCATATTGTTGCACAATTGTATTCACATGTGTAAAAGACCAAGAGCCCCAAAATTTCTTCATTCTAAACAAGAAGTTAATGTAATAAGTCAATTCTTGCCTCAAGAGAAGGCTAACAGTCAAGAAGCAGCTTTCTTCAACTTATGATAGCAGTTTGACAAGAAGCATATTGGATAGCTGAAAGCAAGAGATGGGATGGGATGGAATAGAAAAGTCCTACACAATTTTTCATTTTCAGTTCTTAGTCACCTGCGTTACATATAATTGTCCATTGACTTCCACAAACGTGTAAGAAGTTTTTCAATGATCTCATGTAAGATTCTACCTTCCTTCTTTCCACCTTTTTTTTGGATAATGGTTTAAAGTCTTAGATTAATGCTCAGTACAAAGACTCTACCTTCCCACTTTCCACTTTTGACAAATACAATAAGAAATTCTATTCATAGAGCCAGTAAAGTACCTAATCATAGGGAACCAGTGTCCTCCTAACATGAAGCAAACAAAATAAATAATAAAGAAAACAGAAGTTACTTCAAACACCATATTGGTGCAATATAAGATACTTTTGAGTTTAGTTTAAAAGATAATTAGAAAACAGCAAACAAGTAAGAGAAGAACCCATGCTATTTGTTTCCTAAAAAAAACAATACATATGTTATTTGACTGTTTTATTTTAAGCGTAAGAGATATCAAAGCATATGCTATAACATTATTGAGTGTGGCCATGGAGACACATTAGAAACTTAAAAGGAGAATTCAGTCGCAAATGGACTGGAAAAAGTTCTAACAGAATCCTTGGTTTGGTCACATCTCTCTTTTGATAACCAAGAAATCCGGAGGGCCAGTGGCACACTGTTCACTTCCATAGCTCAATGCAAAGCAAATAGTAGTAGGAATATCAGTTTTAGAAGGGAATTTTAGATCTCATAGATATCCTACAGGAATAGGATAGGGATACTTTTGGGGAACTGTCAATTGCCTTTGACATCCCATTCTACATATTTCACCACAGTCTCTTAGAGCTATGTTTATAAAAAAATACTATTCTTAAAAAAACAACAATCAGTTAATCAAGAAGCTGACCACTGACATCTTTTGGGGAAACAGAGAAAATGACTTTATCAAGTGGAAAGGTTTTAGTAAAGGGAATTTCACTGCATAAAATTATTGCAGCTTGATTAATCTTGGAAGGACCTCTAGGACTACGCAAACAGTAGCACCTCTTGGTTTCTTAATTTGTTTAAAAAGCACTATATGAAGCACACTTCTCCCAAGATAACTTAGAAAAAGGGGTAGACTTTGTGCAACAGGTGCGCTTCATGTGCGAAAGTGATGTGGTCACATAGAGAACCCTAATCATCTCTACCTGCGAAACAAGGGAGTTCTGATATATGTTCACTTTTGGATTGAACGGGTAATACCTCGACTTCTAATAGCCACATACATCAGTAGGGCTGGTAGGAATCCATTTCACATCATTCATCTTGCCTTTTGTAGACTTCGTTGTTATGTTTATTTAAATTCTGAAGAGGCATGAAATTATGCCTTACAGATTGCTCTTGCTGTTTAAGTTGGACTATGCCAACGTTTGGAGAGGGTTTCTGCTTATCTGGGCTTTGCTCGAGGAAGATAGACTTGGAAGGAAACTGATACCTATTTGCTTTTTCTGGTGCATCCACAAACAAAGAAACATCAGAACCCTCGAGGGGTACTATGCTGAAACAAACTGTATCAGGAGTCAGGACTCTGTCCTACTTTAGATCCCCAGTAAATGTCATTTTCTTTTACGGCCTGTAGTCTGAATATAAAGCTGTATAGTGCTTACCATATTATACACACCATACAGCGACTAGCAGCGTCCGTGTCAATTGTTTGTTCTCTTTGAAGCTAAAGGGATATTTAATCACGTACTGTGACATAGGAAGCGGGGTTATTGAATATAGTAGAAACTTCAGGGAGGAATTCAAACCAACATATCTTTTGCAGCAGGGGATGATTGAACATAAAATTCTGACGTGGTCGTGGGCTTGGTCATACTCCTTTGAGGAAAGAATTTCTCGACTTAGTTTACCTCATGTCCTCAACTTCCATAGCTTAGTGCATTGCAAATGGTAGTTGGAACCTAAGCTACTGTCAGAAACTGAAGAAAGAATTGGATTAGAGATAGGTTGACTTATCATCTATAAAACGTGACAGTACAAAGGAAATTCAATATAAAAGATAGCTATTACGATATGCTTAATCTTGCAAGGACACTTGGCAAGGCCTTCGCCTTGGAAATTGCTACTCCAAAGCCAAGCCCATCTTAAAAGTTTCCCTTTTGGTTGGATACCACTACATGAAGCTGTCTAACCCAACATAATTTGAGGAAAATGGGATCATTCCATTCAATAGGTACTCTATATAAAAGGTACTGTATATCAAGGACCCTAATGATCTTTTCCCACACTGTGTATTGGCAAGGTAGAAGCAGGATATGTTTCTAAATCTATTTGTGATTCAATGGGTGAAGCCTAGATCCCTAATGGTAACATAACTACAGTGGATGCACGGGTGACGTAGTATTTCCGAACAAAATATACAGGCAATGTAAACAGTGGTGACTATAAGTATAATAAACAAGAGAAGCAGGAACTTAGTATTAACCTGTTGACGCTTTTCCTTCTTCCTTTCATTCCGCTTGGCAGCTTTAGACTTGGGCTTTTCATCCATCACAGGATCATAACCCGGCGGAACATCCTGCAGTGACTCCATTTCTTTCTTCCACTGACATCTCCCCAGGCACCAATCAATCAAAACAAAAACACACAACATAAATTTTGAAAAAAGAGAAAAAAAACAAGTATGTTACATACAATAGCGCCTTTAGATTTGTAAATGGCGACTTCATCTTGAGGCACATAACCAGCCCTAATTCGAATAGGTTTACGGAGTGTTCCGTCAGGGCGTCTTGTTGGTGCGAGTAGTCTTTCCCCTTCTTTTAGGGTTTTGCCTAGCTCAGCTGCCAATTGTTTCGCTTCGTCCTCTCCTCTGGTCGTGCTGCTCGCCATTGCGTTTCTCTCTTCGGTGAGGTGATGATACTGCTGCTTTTACAGAATCACCATATTTTGATACACTAATTTTACTCTGATTTTTTTTTTGTTAAACTTCTGATACCAATTAATATTCCTACTAATTACTACTTGTCCATTTTTTAATTGACATCTATTAAGAAAATAATAATTGATATAATAAATTTATCATTTTACCTCTATTAATTGAAAAATAAATGAATTAAAAACTTACATTTTCAAGAAGTTCTACCATTAATTAAGGATATAATAAGTTAAAAAATTCATCAATTTATCAAAATAAACAAGTAATTATTATGTTCAGTGTCAGAACTAATTAGTTGAGTCCCTTGAAGTTTGTGAGAGTCGATGGGCCGAGTTTCTATTTGTTAATGTTTTGGGCCATAATAGTTTGACCTAATTTAACTAATACACTAATTTTACTCTGATTTTTTTTCGTTAAACTTCTGATACCAATTAATATTTCTACTAATTACTACTTGTCCATTTTTTAATTGACATCTACTAAGAAAATAATAATTGATATAATAAATTTATCATTTTACCCCTATTAATTGTAAAATAAATGAATTAAAAACTTACATTTTCAAGAAATTCTACCATTAATTAAGGATATAATAAGTTAAAAAATTTATCAATTTATCAAAATAAACAAGTAATTATTATGTTCAGTGTCAGAACTAATTGGTTGAGTCCCTTGAAGTTTGTGAGAGTCGACGGGCCAAGTTTCTATTTGTTAATGTTTTGGGCCATAATAGTTTGACCTAATTTAACTAATAGCCAATATTAATAAAAATTCAAGGCAAAGCCTGGTTTGCTTCTCTATTTTCTAGTTTCAAACGCACAGCAACAAATGTCGAAAGCAAAACTTATAAAAATCAAACTCGAGGAGTTTCGTATAAAACTTGAATTTTTGAAATTAGATATGTATGTCTCGAGTTTAGGAATAAGGTTTTTTAGTATAGAGTCCAAACTTTAGAGAAAAGTATCAAAAACTTGTTCACGTAATTAATAGGCTTGAATTTAAATATTTTCTTACTTTTAAATTTTATTTTTATAAGTGTGAAGTTGATCTTGAAAAGGCTGAACTTAACAAAAAATTATACATTTCAATAACTAATTCTCAAATTGTCTATTTGTGCAAGCTCGTGTTTGCTAAGAATTAAGATGGATAACCATTCTTGTTATTTATTTAAAAATTAACCACAAACTTTTAAAATGTTATAAATGTAACATTTAATATTCTTCTTGCTTAACTATTTATTGGTTATTTATATAAATGTTGGGGTATAAAAAGGAAAGAGGTAGAAATGAAAATGAGCGATTTGTGATCAATAAAAGTACCATTGAATTTCATACCCATTAGTCTTGGTTCCTCACCTTAAACAATTTCATTTGGTTATGAAAGAAGCCGATTGTTGGAAATGAGAGGATGAGAACTCAACAAAAATTCATAAAAGTTCAAAACACCCTGTTAATTGGACATTTTTATATAAAGATTTTGTAAAAATTTATATTCGAAAGATTAAATTACGGTCATTTAATTTTGTAAATTGCTAGAGAGATTTTTTTTCAAAAGAGAACTTCAATGTTACATTACTGAACATAAAAATATGTCTTAATCTGATTGAAATTTAATGTTGAGACAGATAACCATGAGATCATTAGATTGATACATCAAAATGAGGAATCAACAAAGAAACATGTATGTTAAAACAATTTCATGTTGAGATCTTAATTATTTTGATTGAAATTTAACGTTGAGAATGAAAATATCAATTGCCCCTTTTCAGATAGGCATGAGATCATTACATTGATACATCAAAACAAGGAACCAACAAAGAAACATATATCTTAAAACAATATTATGTTGAGATCCCAACTTTTTCATCACATACTTGAAAAGTATTAGAAATCTTTTGATTTTGTTCACTGACAAAATCAAGTCTTGCATTAAAGTAAAAAACAAATATTGGCGGAGATGATTCAAGGTGAAAAATCAAGAATATTTAAAATGTACTGAAAGACAAACACGTTGAAAAACCACACAATATTTACATAAAACTGAAGATGAATAAATATGAAAAGGAAATAGCCCATGTGCAAAAAATTTGAACGGGAAGAAGAAAGTTGAAAGTATTTTGAAAGAGAATCGTTTAATTGAAACTTAGTTGCTTTTACATATTAAACACCTATTAATTGGACCAATTAATTCGGATAGTATGAATATAATTGGACAAATATTGCGATCCAGATTGACAAACAAACACTTCCCTTAATTTTTCAATGTCGGCTTAATAGTCATTTAAGTGAAACAATGACTTGATGTCCCTACATTTCAAGGCTTCATTTTTCTCTATATTTTTTTTTTTGAAATATAATTTCCTAATTTATATCAAGTCATAAATATTTTTTTGACTGTAAAAAATTATACGTCATTGATAGTTATTAATAGTTAATTTACATCTAATATATATATTCTTTTCATTTCAATTTATATGTTTTAGTTATAACACTAGAGAGTCAACAATATTTTATTTGAATATGATTTTTGAAAATGAATTTTTAGATATTTTGAATTATTAACCACCGTGATTATTAGTTTTTTTTTTATATATATATAATTTCTACGCAAGTTTTATTTCAAAAAATGAACGAATTTATATTTAAATTTACCGAGAACATTAGTTGAATTTGTAACCTTCTTAATATTGTTCCCAAACGTTAATTTGTGGTCATGTTTTTTTTTTTAAAAAAAGCATTAAATGACCCTTTCCGCAAATGACCCGAAATCAAGAAAATGGATCCAAGCTCAACTTCTTCTCTTCTCTTCTCTCTCCTTGTAAAAAGAGACGAAAAAATAAATAAATTCCAACTTCCTTCAGCGTTGGAATTTTGCCAGTTCTCTCCGAGGGAAATAATTAGTATGTTTCTCGTTATTCTTCGTTAGATTCTCTCTACATATTGTATTGATTCTGCAATAATTATTAGAATATTGTAAAACACGATTTTATAATTTTTATTTGTAAATTTTACAGGTTAATATGTGATAATTGCTTGAAGGTTTAATGATATTTAGTTTTTCCTATAATATAATTGAGTAATTAGTCTAAACATGTTCTAGTCTTACCCTCGATGAATGACGATGATTTCTTCTCATATGTTCTAGTCTTAGCCTTGATGGATATAGTTACTTGATAACTGTGGAGCCTCTATGGATAGAGTTACCCGATACCTGTTGCTTTGGGAGGTGGCGCAGGTTAAAAGAGGAAAGTATAAATTATCATAATTTTTGGCCAGAGCCAATATTTGAACCTTATTGGTTCTGGATTCTAGTACATGGCCTCAACCCTCAAGTGCAAGTAACTGAATTCTGAATTTAATTTTTGCGCATATTTAGTGATTCTTTTAACACAGGTACACCGTTTAGATCAAAGCTACTATGTTATGCCGAATCCACATGTATGTACTACATCTGCTCTGCTGTTTTTAGCAGATGCTAACTCAGTACAAACACTGGCCTAATTGGTGAAGCGACAAGGTTTAAAAGATAAAACTCTCATTTCCTCATGAAAAATGTAATGACTGCATGAGAGCACATTTTTTCATCAATCTGATGTAGGTGAAAATTCAGAAGCTATTCATATGAAAAATTGCCAGGTTTTTTTTCTAGTTATCAAACCTTAACAGTTGGTAAGTCTTTTCTGAAGTGCTAGATTTCCAGCAATAGAAAGAAATATAAAACGATTTTTAGTGCTAGTCAAGATTTTGGAAAAATAGAAAGTTCAGTGCTCTTTGAAAACTCAACAAATCATCAATGCTTTTCCAATGCAATAGAGTAAATCACGAAGACTCTGTCCAATCAGCATCTGGAGTACTAGTTTTATCAGGTATTACACACATCTGTATCTTAGTTACCAGGCACAGGATGTAAAAACAATGTTCAAATGTAGCAAAGTAAAATCAAGTATCATAGAAGACATTATTGTTGGAATGAATTTAGTAAAGGAAGCAGTAAGGTGCAACCGATTCCCATTTTTGCCATCTGTGGTTCAAGCATTTGAATCTTCGTCTGATCTTCCGCGATATGCTCATTCAGATATCTATTAGACAGGAGCTTTAAGCCTGCGAACTGTCATCTGCTGTTTCAGACTTTCTATCCTTGTCGAGATTGCCTGCAAAATTCATGAGTGGCAAGTGGAATTTTCTGTGTGAGAACTTCTCTCCTTGGGTGGTTAAAGAGTCACTTCTGAACTCATGTGAATAATAAGTAAAAGATACATAGAGATAAATTTAAAAACATGCTATTGAAACTTCCATGCACATACAATATTTTTTCTAATTATGTATGCACGTACAATCTATTTTAAGTAATATGTCCCTCTGCTCTCCCTTACCACATATTGATTAGATTCCTTTGTACTTGTAGAGATGATGGAGACATTCTCTTCCCTCTTTTACTCTAGACTCTATATGCTACTCTTACTACTTATTATGAATGTGATCAAGGAATCTGTTGTTTTGGGAAACTTCTTAGGAAATGTCAAAGATCATGCTAGAACAATTATCATGATATGGCTACAATGTTGAGAATAATCTCTATTAACTTTTGTAACCGACCCCTTGTTCCCTATAGATTGTATTGTTCCCTTTAAGGTTAGTTGCAAAATGCTTTCCGCTTTCCTAAATTGAAAGTATTGTTCCTTCAATTAAAATCTTTCCAAAAAGGATTTATTGCTCTTTTTGTTTTTTAAATGCTTTTTGCTTTCCCTTAAATCAAAATTTGGCTTCTTTTCCTATTTATCCCCTTTTTAAAATTACACTACAAAAAATATTGATATAAGTTTAGCACCTCTATAGAGCCTCTGTTAATACAACTCTCCTTGATTAAAAACAAAGTTATATGGAGATCATTTTATTATTCTACGAATCAACTTATGAGAAAAAAATGAAAAATCACAAACACTATACTTGTCCAATTTCTCTATGTTTTTCAATTTTCTCATGGTCAGAATTTTTGCAAAACATTTTCTCTAGGGTGTGGATAGTGGGAGCAGACTCGGAGAACTTCCCAGTCATGATGCGGTTACACCAAGGGTTGACTCTTAGCCCCTTTCCGCTCTGGTTATGATGGATGTACTGACATGGCATATCCAAGATAGGCTGTCATGGTGTATGTTATTCGTAGATGACATAGTACTGATTGATGAGACTCACAGTGGAGTTAAATGCTAGGCTGGAGGTTCAAAGACAAACTCTGAAGTCTAAAGGGTTCAGGCTGAGCATGACCAAGACTGAATGCTTGGAATGTAAGTTCAGTGATGCTACACATGAAATCGGTGTGGAAGTGAGGCTTGACACTCATGTCATCCCCAAGAGAAGATGTTTCAAGTGTATGGGGTCTTTAATTCAAGCTAGTGTAGAGATCAATGATGACATCACACATTGTATTGGTGTGGGATGGGCGAAATAAGATGGCCTCCGGTGTCTTATGTGTTAAAAAGGTACTGCCAAGACTTAAAAGTAAGTTCTACAGCTCTTTGTTTCATATTATTTTGTTGTTGCTATTGCTCTCATTTCTACATTTCCTTTTCCTAGCTGCTTGGATATGCTTTATTTTTAGCTGAGGGTCTATCAGAAACAACCTCTTTATCTCTATGAGGTAGGGGTAACGTTTGCGTACACTTACCATCCCTAGACCCACTTGTTGTTGTATTTTCTCTAGGAAAACAACTTCCTAAAAACGAGGAAAATGACTTCCCTAGTGGAATTAGGGAAACAAGTTCCTTAAATGTCATTTCACACTAATTGCCTAATCCCACCCTCCAACACCCCTAGCCCCATAGCCCCCATCCCTTGCCATCCAAACCAACCCAATATTGTTTGCTTATATATACAAATACTTTTGGGACAATGTTTTCTGCATATATACCTGAACATCAAAAAATAAGTAAGAAAACTACTTATTTTCAAGGATAACATTTTCCTTTATACCAAACACACCTAACATGATTTCAACTTTTCTCCCTGCATAGCAAAACTAGTCAGTAGAATTTTCACAATGGGAGTATGATTCACATTTTTTTTTTGTGTAGATATACCAGCACTTGTCTTTCAAATATGTGATGTTCGTTTGATTTCAATTTTGTAGAGCTTTCTAAAGGAGATTTATTAACCTAAACAAACTTAAGCAGATATGTACCTTGGGTTGTGGAGAGCCGTGGTCGTCCTCTTGGCCTCTTAACTGGGCTTCCTAGGTTTGCTCCATCTCTCTGAGAGTGTAGTTTCTGGCCGGAGACCTTGAGCAATGAATGTCAAGCAGTAACCAAATAAGGAATCTCAAGTAGTTATGAAATATGTAAGGATGTACCAAATCACAAAAGAGGTTTAGCATAGACTATTACCTAAGTTTCTGTGACTATAATCCATACATTAACATTAGTTTGAAATTCACAATTTGATTTCTAGACTGCAAAGAAGATTTGCCAATGAGGAAACACTTGTATATTTGTATTTTCATGTATATACCAAAAACAGAACAGAGGTGGCATGTCAATTCTTAGATAAAAGCCAAAGAGATGTTTGGAAGAAGAAGCTTCTTAAGAATAAGAAGTGCATTGTATCCGTAGACTACGTTACCATTGTGTTTCAAAATCATATGTTTTGCTGTTAATGCTGATAATGATTATTTTGACAAGTAAAGGAATTTTATATGGTGTGTGGAGCAACAATAATAATGAAACTACACGTACATTAGCTATTTTCTATGTCGTCTACTCTGACCTTAGTTGTAGTGTCTTATCGACTTGTCGTTATAACTTAAAAGGAGATTGAAGAGACTTTTTGGTCGACTTAGTTTTAAAACTTTTTGTGGTTGATCATACCTTATCCTAAAGCTGATATACCTATTTCTTCAATAATCAGATGTTCATCTCCGTATGAAGAAGAAAATCCAATAGTTGTAGCATTTACAGAACAATTTATTGACATACCCTTGATATAGTATGATTAGTATCCATATGATGTGGGGCGAGTCTATTTTCACGTGCAATTGCTTTCCCCCAGTAGTTTCATTTTGCACAGCCACATGATCCAGTATATTATTGTTTATCCTGAAACAAAGTATAATGCAAGGCATTATAGTTGTAATGACAAGCATATGTAAGTCAAATTCACTTTGAGATGTCACAATGTAAGTCTACTGTGAAGTCCTCACAAACTAACAAACTTGTAGGTAAGCACACGGTGATAGACATCGGAATTGACATATTAAATGCACCTAAAAAGCAGAATTTGCCATATCTAATTCATGGAAATTCCATCCAATAAAACGGAATGTTCCCCGGACCCTGCACATAGCGGTAGCTTTAGTGCACCGGGCTGCCCTATTGAATCGTATGCATGCATCTCAAAATTCACTTACATAAATGGATTTTCTACAGGAACATTCATTGAGGAAGAGACATTATCTTCTGCCATTGAAAATTGAGACGTCGAGCGTTCTGTAGTAGTAGTTGGTGATACGAGCAACATAGCTCCAAGACCAATCTCATTAGGAGGAATGTATTTGTTCCTTGCATAAATTAGAGTAACATCTTCATCCCCGTCTGGTATATTTTCAAATTCTGGTTCCTGTAGATTGTTGTAAAGTTGCCTCTGGAGTCTTTCGACAGGTGACAAAATGCGTTGGGTAAGCTCTGATCTCTTTCTTTTTGGGACACTGTTAGGATTCCAGAAAGGATCTTTGTCTGCTTCTCCCAACAAAAGGTAAATGTTAGTGCACATAAAACAATAAGGTATTAATACAATAGATTTTTTTATTTTGGTCAAGCTAGTATTATTTGTATGGTTAAAGTATAGTTGGACCGGTCAGTTCATATCTGAAAATCCAAATTACCTGAAATTTGTCAATTTCAGTTCATTGTGTAAAGAAAAGTTAGTTATCAAAATTTAGGGGAGACACTATAATTAATGGCCTATGAGCAAGAAAGAAACCGAAGATTGTGCTTGTAGAGTATCATATGGTAATTACTTCCCTACGGCTTATTTGGTAAAATCCTGAATGTGATTTGACATTACATACTTTGACAAGCACATCACAATAATCGGAAAACGAAAGGAATTTCCTGCATAAAAATAAATCCAAGTGTCGTGAATCTTGATACATGCTTATCAAGTTGTCTTAGAGCTCATGGTGTAAGTGATTCTTTTGAGAATTAGACACCAACAAAAAATAACCACTTGGACAGTGGGAGAATGCTGATAAAATTTTCTGTCTCACTGTTAAATTTGTTGTGTAGGGCGCCAAAATTGGCTTGGTTTCAAGATGTAGAATCTATGCTGAATCACCATTTGGCAGGGCTACTAGGACTTGGGTCTCTCTCTTGGGCGGGGCATCAAGTACATGTCTCTTTACCGATTAACCAATTTCTAAACGCTGGAGTAGATCCTAAAGAGATACCACTTCCTCATGAATTTATCTTGAATCGAGATCTTTTGGCCTGTAGATTCTTTTCCTGTTTTCCGCTCCTTTTTTGGGGGTGGGGGTTCAAATTTGTCCATTTCTAATCAATAGAATAAGAGAAGTTTGTAATTGGAATCATAATAATATTGGGTGAACTGTTTCTTCCTTTTCTTTTGAATCAGAATACTATGCACTGCAGGATTACTTTTTGGGAAGGTGTATCTACATTGATTTAGTTGCCTAAATTCATCTATCTCATAATTTTCTTTGAGACTAAGGGCTCGTTTGGTACGAGGGATAAGGGATAACTAATCTTGGGATTAATTTTAGGATGAGCTTATCCCATGTTTAGTTGGGATATATCACGGGATAACTTATCCCGGAATTAGTTATCCCGGGATTTTAGTGTTATTTTTATCCCACATTGAAGGTGGTGGGATAACAATCCTAGGATAACTCGTTCCCCAACCAAACGTGCCCTAAGAGTTTTGCGCTTACTATCATGCAAAACAGAAGAAAGAGATTGGCCAGAAATTGAGTAGGAAGATATTAGTTTTCCATTTTTTTTAACCCGTACTCTTAAGAAAGGATTTGATTCAGAACATGTATCATATTTACTGAGACAATTTAAAGTGTATATGTGAAAGTATTTTACCATTTGTTTCTTCCATCTGCATGCAGTTAACTGAGGATGATCCTACTGAAACTAAGCTTGGTATGCTATTCATTTCCTCTTCAAGACAAGCTGAAGATCCCTCCTGTCCAGAAACCTCTACTCCAACTTGTAGCCTTTGGTTATCTCGAGCTAAGAGACGCGGATTCATCTCAGCAGGTAACTGATTGCTCTGTGTTTCTCGGGCATGTCTGGGAATGTAGTTCTGTAGTGTCCCCCTAATGCGCCACCTTGATCCACATGCATTGCAGAGCACTGGTTTTTCAGCTGGCCCAGGTCTCCAGTGGCGGGTTTCTGTTTGAGTTCAAAATTAATTAGTGTTTAAACTGGGATAAATATGAATAAAATTCAACTAAAGCACAATGATCATTAACAATTAAGATTTTCTATAAAAAAGGTATAGAATGTATTGCACGAGAGCGAAAGCGTCATGAAACTAGAGTATGTGTAAATTAAAAATAAGAGAAAATTTCCTTGTGTTAAACATGCATAGACTTTTAGGATGCTTCAACTGTTTCTTTACTCACATTTTCATAACCATGGTAAGGAACCATACAAAAAAGTTGACCTTTGAGTTTGATGGTAGAAAGATTGAAAAAGATTTGCTTGATATGTTGAGGAACCATGCAAAATAGTTAATCTCTTGACAGACTGCATTTTTTTGCATGAAATTTTAAGGAGGAAAGTTACCATCTTAACCGATAGTAATTACGGTATAATATTCAACAGGTACTCTCTTTCTCTAGCGCTCAACTGTAAACCCCCCCTCCGCAGTGGATCTGCACGCCACTGAACTGACCACCGGCGACCATGTACGATTTCCTCCAGAACACTATGTGTAAGTCTTTCTTGTTGTCCCTAGACTGCTCCGCTTGGGTAACCCCTCAAGATCCCTAACACCTTTCTTGTTGCTTTCTTGATTCAGTCAATTGTCTTAGCCCACATATTATCTGCGTCCTCGCTAGCTCCATTGCCTTTTTTGTCGTCTTAAACCTCTCACTATTCCTCCTTGTCTAAGCTTTCACTAACATCTTGTAAGCAACCTTCTTGTCTTTCACTGTTCCTTGGACCTCTTCATTCCACCACCAATCTCTTTTGTGCAGCTGGGTAACCCCTCGAGACCCCCAACACCTCTCATGTTGCTTCTCTGATGTAGTCAGTTGTCCTAGCCTATATACTGTTTGCATCCTCACTACTCCCTGAAATCCTCAAAGCCACTAACTTTTCTCCAATTTCCTAAGTATTGGCTTCAATCAGGACTCCCATTAAATCCTTGGTGGGCATATGCGGTCCTCTTCTTCTTCATCCTATTGATTTCTAAATCCATAACCACGAGCTTATGTTGGGTTGTAAGATCCCCTCTCCTGATCCAGTCCTTGCATAAACCTCTATCACATTTTCTAAGGAGCAAAGAATGTATCTGAGTCTTAGCCACCACCCTACAAAAGGTCACCAAGTGCTCCTCCCTCTTCTAAAAGCTGGAATTAGCTATGATCAACTCGATAGCTTTCGCGAAGTTTAAAAGCATAACTTCTCCATTTCTATCCCCAAAACCGAAAGTGCCTTGTACATCATCATATCCTCTCGAAGTGGTCCCTATGTGACCATTAAAATCCCCTCATAAAATTAGTTTCTCAGTATGCGGGATAACTCTCACAACCTCGTCCAACTCCTCCCAGAACAAAGAAGTTTTTTTTGACCTCCTCGTCCAAACCTGTTTGCTGCACATATGCACTAGTTACCTTAATAGTTAGCCCTCGCAAAACTAGCTTAATGAACATTATCTTATCATTCACCCTCCTAATCTCTACCGCTTGCTCCTTGAGTTCCTTGTCTACTAAATACCTACTCTATTTCTACTCCTCGATCTTCTTGAGTACCATAACTTAAATCCATCTACATCCCTAGCCTTGGTTCCTACCCATTTGGTTTCTTGAACACAAGCTATATTGATCTTCCACTTCATAAGAATCTTCACTAACTCTATCGGCTTCCTCGTCACTGTCCCTATGTTTCAAGACCCAACTCTCAACCTCTAGGATCTCCCTTGGTACCCTTACCACCCCTACCGCTGCCAATCAAGTACATGACCATAAACTACATCAAACCCTGAAGCCTTTTGCGCCAGTTATAAAATAATCAAGTGTACAATAAACAACAAAAAATGGGCAACCCTTAACAACAAATACCCTAAATCTTAAAATTGACAGTTACACAATACAATGATGAAAATAAATAGAAGCAATAAACTATTGAAAAGATATTGTTCAAAGTAGGAACCAAAAAATGCAGTAGTATTTATAAGGGTGCAGCAATAAATTCACGAATGCAATATCAGATTAAGGAAATCAGTTAACAAGCAAGCAAGAATAAGGGGCTGCGCAATCTGTTAAGGAAAAATCAGATTTAGACAGGCGAATCTAGGATTTCTAGAACATGGGTGCATCACTAAAAATAGAAGGAAAAAATGTATTGAGTGCCAACATATAATATTATTTAACCAAGTGATTCCAAGTCCTCTTAAGTAAATAACTAAACATTTAACCAAGTGCACCATTTAACCTTTTTGTAGTATGGGTGCCAACATATGATATTATTGGTTGCACCAGGGATCGACCCTTAGCCTGTTCCTTTTTGCCTTAGTGATGGATGAATAGACACGATATATTCAATGAAAGGTATTGTGGTTTATGCCATTCGCAGATTGACATAGTATAGAATAATGAGACATGGGGTGGAGTTAACGAAAAACTGGAAGTTTTGAGACAGATCATAGAGACTAAAGTTTTCAGGTTAAGCAAAACTAAAACAAAGTATTTCGCGTGTAACTTTAATGACGTAACACTTGAGGCAGAGGTGGAAGTGAGGAACGACTCACAAATCATACCCAAGACCAAGAGAGGAAACTTCAAGTATCTTGGGTCCATTATTATAGTAGACAGAATGATTGATGATGTTTCACATCATATTGGAGTAGGGTGGGTAAATTGAAGGCACACATCCCTGGGTACTTTGCGATAAAAATGTGTTGCCATGGCTAAAAGGTATGTTCCATAAAGTGGTGGTTAGACCTACATTGTTGTATGGGGCACAATGCTTGTCAGTCAAGAACGTCCACGTTCAGAAGATGAATGTAGGAGAGATGAGAATGCTCAGATGGATTTGTGCGCGTACTAAGAGAGATTAGATTAGGAATGAAGTTATATTGGGCAAGGTGGAAGTGACCTATAGAGTTAAGTAAGGGGAGGTTCATGCTTGTGGTGCATGTAAAAACCCTAGGTAGTGGTGAAGAGTGGTGTTTTGGGGTACATCATCTAGAACGTAAGGACGATTGGTGTCAAAAGATTCAATAGATGGGAACTAAATGTGCATGTATGGCAGGGATTGGGGACCAAATCTACAATTTTTCCTAATTGACCTCAATTCCTGTTAGATTAATGGCAGATTTACTGAAAATTAATTAACATTTGTCTCAAAAGATGAGAAAATTAAAGAACTCTGATTTATTTTTAACAGATGCACCATTTAGGGAAATTAGGGTATTTTGTGTTTCATGCATGTGAGTCTTCAAAATTTAATTGCTGAACATCAGGCACATAAATCCTAAGCATAACTGAATCAAGTATCCTGTAAAGCATAAGATTATTGATAAACATAAAAGATGGGATATAGGTGGTGAATAGAACTTACGCTTGATGCCACAATGGTGACATGGACCTTGTCTCACCATAAGATCTGATTATGAATGATTCAGTTTAAATCAGGTTGAATTTGCTGTTTCTAACCATTAGAGTTCGATTTGCTCTCAAAATCTAAAATGTCTGTGTGAGGGATGGGTCACAAGATATATAGACAGATAAGAATTTGGTAGACTACAGCTGGTCCTTTATATGGAAATAGATGAATTATGATAGATTTGTCATTAACTTCTGTCTATTCTGAATTATTCTTTTTCCCCTCACGACAGCTCATCAACTTTGATTACGGTAATTTCTCAACTATTTACACTATAACTCCAATGAGAGAAGTCTTAGATTCTCTATCAAATGCAAAGGGGGTTGTGATTTGGGGGGTGGTGTAGGTGGGGTGAATGCTGGATTTGGTGAATCTTCATAATTTTTGGCCTTTAATCTAGTGGTCAAGGCTTATTAAGCAATGAATCTTAAGTCAAGGAAGTGTTAAATAGTTTCAAGATGATAATTCAAATATCTAAGGGTGAGAAAATAAAAGAGTTTTCAAAAAATAAGGATGTATAATGCAATTTTTGCCTGCGATTGTGGAATCAGATTAAGTATTGAAAAATCAAAGGAAGGCCCTCAGATTACATTACTGAGAGCAGATCCAGAAAAGAATGACTACATTCAATTTATTTCCAATAATGCTTTTTTACATCCATTTCCCCTTGCACTAGTACAATAATCAAATCGATCGTTTTGCCTAAATATAAGATGGTCTCATTAATACAATGCAGGTGAGAGTTGAAGTTCATACAGGTGGCTCCGTGACTGATAATTGGATAAATTTCTTATTTGGTGAGTATGCCTCAACTTGTGAATTAAATTGAGAATATACATATATTAACATAGAGCTGGCTATTTCCTTGGAAATTTTCTTTAAGACTTTGGCTCCTTGATTCTGATATTCTGGTGCACCCGAAAACCACAGTACTGTCGGTTTGCAAAAGCTCAAACATCTTAAGGAAATGTTGGCCAAGTAAAAAAGGGCTTTAGAAAGAACAAACCACGTTTGTTTGCTTATCAGGACAAAATTGTTTTCTAGAAGAACAAACAAACATTTTCAAAAGAAAAACAAAACAAAAAAAACTTTTTGTCGGTTTTGTTTTACTCAAACCAAAATTAAACCAACTTCTAATTAGCGCCCAAATTCTAAATATTATCACTTTGACCCTCTTCTTGTAAATGAATTTACTGTTTATAACCTTCTTTTCCAGAAAGAAATGAAAAGAAAATCAGTATCCAAAAATTTCCCAATAGACTGTTTGATCACACCTTAGTGAGTTGCCAAATCATAGATGTTCTCATTTTTTTTTGGGCAGTTTTAATGTCAATTTAAGAGGTCCTTATCTTAACATTAGTCCTGAAAACTAGACTCATAATTTTTGGTATGTTGATATTGACTCATCTTAAAAAGATTTCCTTGTTCTTGAAATGCAGATATCCTATTATGGTCTTAGCAACCGTTTTATGTTTAATCGACTCGGTTATGAATGTTCCCTTTTTAGGTGAGAGTTTCCCTGCTACTGAGATGCAGCAACGACACTTATTTTTTCCATCTTACCATGCTTGCGCATTTATATGCCACCATTGACAGAATTTCATGTATATATCCCTTTATGGCATTAGAGGGATTGAGTAAGATGAGGAGCCCAACGTCTATTCAAATAAATTTTTTACCCCTTTTCTTTCTAATTGAAACTTTATTCAAGATTCCGTATTGAAATTATTTTTTATTCAAGATTCAGTATCCAAGACTGGAGAAATTCGTTTTAAGACAATTTAGGAGAACCCAAGAACTCGCCCATATAAATATGTTAAGTAGAAATTTCCAATCCAAGCAAGAATATTACTGCAATTATCTTTTGATAGTAGTATTTTGGTCGGTGTTTATTTGATGGTGTGGATTGTGCTAAGTTCTTTATTAGAGGATGCAGCTATTAGGTTGTGAATATAACCTATTTGGGCGGTAACAATAATTTGCTGCTTTCCTAGTAAGAAAAAAAGGGTTTTAGAAGGAGTAATCTTTTCCACCCTCAGTTCCAGTAGTTTCATTTTGCATAGTCACATGATCCATTATATCATTGTTTATTCTGAAACAAAGTACAATGCATGACATTGAAGTTGTAATGACAAGCATATATAAGTCAAATGCCCTTTGAGATGTCACACATCTAATTCTACCATGAGGTCCAAAAAAAAAACTAACAAAATTATAGGTAAGCAAACAGTGGTAGACATCGGAATTAACATATTAAATGCACCTAAAAAGTAAATTTGACATATCTAATTCATGGAAATTCCATCTAATAAAACGGAACCTTCCCAGGACCCCCGCACATAGTGGGAGCTTTAGTGCACTAGGCAGCCCTATTGAATCTTATGCATGCACCTGAAAATTCACTTAGAGATTTGGATTTTCTACAGGAACATTTATTGAGCAACAGGCATTATCTTCTTCCATTGGAGATAGAGACGTCGAGCGTTCTGTAGTAGTAGTTGGTGATACGAGCAGCATAGCTCCAAGACCAATCTCATTAGGAGGAATGTATTTGTTCCTTGCATAAATTAGAGTAGCATCTTCACCACCGTCTGGTATGTTTCAAATTCTGGTTCCTGTAGACTGTTATAAAGTTGCCTCTGGAGTCTTTCGACAGGTGACAAAATGCGTTGTGTAAGCTCTGATCTCTTTCTTTTTGGGACTCTGTTAGGATTCCAGAGAGGATCTTTGTCTGCTTCTCCCAACAAAAGGTAAATGTTAGTGCACATAAAACAATAAGGTATTAATACAATAGAATTTATTTTGGTCAAGCTAGTAGTTTTTGTATAGTTAAAGTATAGTTGGATTGGTCAGTTCATATCTTTATTGAAAATTCTCAATTTCAGTTCATTGTGTAAATGAAAGTTAGTTCTCAAAATTTAGGAGACACCATAATAAATGACCATTTAGCAAGAAAGAAACCAAAGATTGTGCTTGTAGAGTAATATATAGTAATTACTTCCCTACGGCTTATTTGGTAAAATCCTGAATGTGATTTGACATTACATAGTTTGACAAGCACATCACAGTAATCGGAAAACGAAAGGAATTTCCTGCGTAAAAATAAATTCATATGTCGTGAATCTTGACACATGCTTATCAAGTTGTCTTAGAGCTCATGGTGTAATTGATTCTTTTGAATATTAGATACCAACATAAAACAACCACTTGGATAGGGGAAGAATGCTGATAAATTTTTTTGTCTCACGGTTAAATTTGTTGTGTATGGTCTGTATATTCTCTTATCCTATTTTCCGTTCCTTTTTTGGGGGTGGTTCAAATTTGTCCATTTCCAATCAATAGAATAAGAGAAGTTTGTAATTGGAATCAATAGTATTGGGTAACTGTTTCTTCCTTTTCTTTTGAATCAGAATACTATGCACTGCAGAATTACTTTTTGGTAAGGTGCATCTAAATTGATTTGGTTGCCGAATTTCACCTATCTCATAATTTCTTTGTGACTAAGGGCTCGTTTGGTACGAAAGATAAGGGATAACTAATCTTGGGATTAATTTTAGGATGAGCTTATCCCATGTTTAGTTGGGATAAGATCACAGGATAACTTATCCCGGGATTGTAGTGTTATTTTTATCTCACATTGAGGGTGGGATAACAATCCCGTGGTAACTCGTTCCCAACCAAACGTGCCCCAAGTGGTTTGCGCTTACTATCATGCAAAACAGAAGAAAGAAATTGGCCAGAAATTGAGTAGAAAGATATTAGTTTCCACTTTCTTAATACTTGTACACTTGAGAAAGGATTTGATTCAGAACATGCATCATATTTGCTGAGACAAGTTAAGTGCTCTCTATATATGTGAAAGTATTTTACCATTTGTTTCTACCATCTGCATGCTCTGTGTTTTTCTGCTTGCATGTCTGGGAATATAGTTATGTAGTGTCCCCATAACGCGCCACCTTGTTCCACAAGCATTGCAGAGCACTGGTTTTTCAGGTGGCCCAGGTCTCCAATGGGGGGTTTCTGTTTGAGTTCAAAATTAATTAGTGTTTAAACTAAAGCACAATGATCATTGACAATAAAGATTTTCTATAAAAAAAGGTAGAGAATGTATTGCACGAGAACGAAAGTGTCATGAAACTAGAGTATGTATAATATTAAAAATGTTAGAATAGAAATATGTATATATTCCTACTTAGAATAGGAAGAAGAATAGGAATAGGAATCCTAGTTAGAAAAGGATTTCAATGTATATGTATTGTCTATAAATAGGGTCTCAATGTAACAATTTAGATACACAATTCAATATTATTTTTCCCATATATTTCTCACATGGTATCAGAGCATTGGTGAGAAACTTCAAGTCACCGTGTCAAATTCCGGCGACGACGGTTGGGACTGATTTGTGTCATCTTTCGTTCTGAAGGTGTTGTGCGAAAGACAACACCATCACGAGGCTCGGGAAGCTCAGGCGACTGAACCCCAAGAATTTCCACCGGAAAACAACCCCCACGCGCCCCCACGCGCCGATCAGAGGTGGAAGTTTTCCGGCGAGATCTGTTCACGCGCCGGCGCGTGAGTACTGTTCCGGTCATCTTTTTTCGAGTTGTTTTCTTCTGTTGGGGTCGCCCAGTATTTCCGACCAGAACCCATTCAGTTGTCTCTAGATCCGATCACCGGAATTAGGGTTCCGGTGATTTTCAGGCAGTTTCCGGCAAGTTCCCGGCGAAATCACAAATTTTAGGCCACTGTGGGTAGATTCCTGCAGTTTCCAGCGAGTTTCTTACTCTTTTCAAGTCAAATTTCGAAAAAA